TTACGTGTCACTATCATTTACCAAACTAGAACAAAAATAAAAACAATTGAAGACACCCCCCCTTCGTTCACCACCATCATACTGGTTGTGGAAGGAAGAAGCATTCATAGTACAAGGGACAGAGGGTGACAAGACATGAAACAAACAGCATCCACCCCCACCCAGTGCCCAGATTCACAGCAGTTTAACCAAAAGTTAATTCCAGGTAACCCAGAGGAGTCAAGTAATAGGATAATTAACAAAAGACTGGATACTGAACATCTTTTGAGACAAGGTTGTTCACATGCAGAAAATGTCCTGAGAATCAAGAGAAACTTTTATTGAAAATCCTCCTTTGAAATGTAAATGCATTGGTTGGGTATTCCAGTTCTTCACATTCTTCCACATAACTTAATGACTTTCAAAAGATAAAGAATGAAAAGGGAGATGGCCTTCAAGGCAGGAAAAATTCAAGCATTCTTGGGTATCTTAGAAAAAAACTTTGTGCCCACTGTTTCTCAAATACATCACTAGAAAATTCTTTAGGTCAATCTGGTTATCTGGGGTCTTGGCTAACTGCCATCACACCTATGACCAATCTGCAATTTTCAGTCAACCCTGTGTTTGAAAGAATTTTATAGTAGCAGAATTTAGATGTATTCTGGGGAAAAACAGTTCAATATCTTGAGCAGCTGTCTTGGAAATATGCTTTGGAAAGCTCAAACTTGTGTAAAGATTCAGTATTTTAAATACCTGATGTCTAAGACTGGTAATAAAAAAGTAACTCCTTTGATCAGAACAACAGCAAGGTCCTCAACACTTAGATACCACCTTAGAAAGAAGAAAATGATTTACATAAATAATTTCACAAGACATTTGAATATACTTTGTGATTTTATTTAGGTCAAATTCTTAGTACACAGCAATAATTAATTCCAAATACAATTAAAAAATTAAAAAGTGAATGTAGCCCCAGTCACCTGGAGGTGGTTTAATGGCACACACACAGAACAATTACTGGCAACAGACTGCTCCCTCAAATTTCCTGAATGGTTTTTACTTAACACTACCAACTCTCTGGGAGCTAAAAAGTACAACTGGCCAGATCACAAATTGTTTACATTCTTTTTGTAAATCATTTTGTTAAGAAAAAAGGTACATGGACACAAAATATGATAAAAACTGCTTTTCCATAGAATTCTGAAGTTGCAAAAGAGGTTTCATTTTAATGTGAAAATAAGCTTTTTGTTGTGTTTTTATTACAAAAAACCTTAAGATATTTAGCAAGGATCATTTATACACACACAGCTAGGCCCTGTCATTTCACTTGTAATTTTTAAATAGAGATTCGCAATGAAACAAAGATCAGCATAAAGTAAACTTAAAGGTATGAGCTCAATGCTTCCATTTAATAACTTTTATAAGGCTCTCTTAAATAAGGCTGTTTTGCTGTGCTGTGCTCCTGCCAGTGTTGAACTAATATAATGTGTTTTTGCTACATACACCTTATGGAAAAGAGTGTTTATACTGAGTGTAGTTTTAGAAGGGGTAATTTTTTTTTTCACTAAGGTTGCACTTAATATACTCCTTTAAACAGTCTGAATACTCTGATGGTTATTTACCAAAACATGGCATATAATTTCAAGTATATTCCTGAAAACATCAAGTAGAAGTCTTAATTGTTAAAGAAAAATACAGCACATTTAATTAAGACAGTTGTGGTGCAGTGGAAAGAATACTGGGCATTGATTGAGTCAGGAACTCAATATCTGAAACAAAGAATCTAATAACCTCATTAGTCAAATGAGACTGAACCAAAAATTTTAAAAGCTCATCTAGCTCTAAAATTCTGTGATTCTAAAGTAAATTATGTGAGGGAATTACCACCTTAACACCAATCAGGAGTTTCTGGCCAAAGTTCAGAAGTGAACAGATCCCAATTCTTTCCAAATGCCTGGCAGTCACCTGCCAACTCCTCCAACCCTTTTCAAAGGTAAAGGTGGCCTTCAGGACATGCCATGCTCTCTCCAAGAGGAGAAAAGGTAATAAAAGGTAAAAGAACGGACCTGCTAAAAGAAAATGAGAAAAGATAAAAGCAAACTACCATCATTTTTGATGCCTCCCAAATAGAAAAACCTTTATCACCTTTAGTCAATATCAAATGCTAAGGAGCACAGCTACATTTACAGATAATCACTGTAAAGATGCATAAAACATTCTCTCTAGCTGGATAGCAAACAGCAATGGAAGGAAAGAAAAGGGGGGATGAAAATGTCACACCCAGTGATTTAGAAACAGCAAAATTAGCAGTCCCTTACCAGCCCCAATGTGGGAACAGCAGGTACCTCTGAGGAAGACAGACGGAAGTAGCCAAAAGAGGGAAATACTGAATGAGAAAAAAGGTTTATACTTATTCCAAACACACAGCAGGCTAATGAATCTCCCAGGACTAGATTTTTAAAAACTGGCACTATTTTCTGTTTCCAATTTATTGTCTTAGCCACAAAGTCAAAAGTAAAAATGTTTATGATCACTCATATGTCCTTGTGGACTTTCAAATATTAATACCAATTAAAACCAAAAAAAAATTTTTTAAACCCAACTATTCAGTCCTCTTCTTGAAGGGAAAAAGGGGGAGTGGCCACACAATCAAGAAAATCTGGAGAGAAGACCATCATATTAGATTCCTGCTATCCTGATAAAATGGTTGCTTATTGGTGAGCAAATTTCAGACTTGGGTCATCTTTGCTATAATAGCAATACATCTTTGCAGCATACAAAGATTTCATGAATTCATCTGAAATTCCTAGTAACAACCACCTTTAAGTTTATAAAAATGATACATGGGGAAACTTACAATAAAACAGGAAATACTACCCTTATAGACTATTAATAGCATGCAATCTATGTAATATTACATACATTAAAAGTCTCCAATAACTGTAGGCCTGGCTCATTATTTCATTGTATCCTTTCAAGACAAACTAGAATTTGAAACTACAAAACTTTAATATGCAAAAAAATCCAACAAGTATTGTTTATAAAACAAAAAGTCACATACACAAGTACTAAATGATATAGAAAAAATAAATCAGCTAACCATGAATTTCCCCCCACTACAGATCTTAATATAGGATTTCACCAGTATCTTCTGTACTCCCCAACCAGCAGGAGCAGGCCATCTGCATCCCTCTGACTCCACCAGTTCTGCTTTCTGTAGTTGCCTTTGTATCTCTAGTAGTGGTGAGCTTATGGGAACTGTTTGTTGAATTTCAAAACACACTCTGCCTTATTAATCCACTAAACTTCTCAGCCAAAAACTACTTTAAGTGATAATTAGAACAACTAATTTCAAAGGTTTTCCTATTTATGCACCAGTACTAAGAAGAGTTTGACCTATCCAAATATAGAGTTTTGTTTGGGTCCATAAGGATAGGAGGACATTCAGGGCCATTACACCATGAAGGAAAATGGAGTAAGACATGTTAGGATGACCTCACAAAAACCACAAAGTGAAATGTGTATGAGAGGCAAGATAATAAAGCTAAGTCCAAAGTATTGGGGAAAATCTAAAATCAAAATAGCCAAGATGTGATTTTAAAAAAAAAAATTAAAACAAAATCTTGGTAAGGAAACACTGTAACTGGGTCTCAGTTAAATGGTGAAGTCATATGCTCAGATAACAGACTTACAGGTGGAATATTAACTTCCACCTATGCCATCAGTATTTCCTCACACATTATTATACTTGTTCATTTTTCAGCCAAGTTTTTATATCGGTAATACCCATCATGTTCGTTCCCTACATTTGAAATACATGCAACTATTGTCTCTCCCTTTTCACCCAACTTTGCTGGAAGTTATCCAGCAAAGCTCTATTCTGGCCAAGTCAGTGGACTAAGAAGAACCCACAATGGCGGCTTTGGGCCTGACTATAAACTGGTTCATCCCATCACAGTATTCACCTACTGAGCAGCACCCCTTCTGGATTTTTTTTTTTTTTTAACTATTTCTGATGCTGATTACAAAAGTGATGATTGAAGTCATGGAACCTTTAAACTTCACTGGGTGAAGCTCTAATTATTATACAGATAGGGGAAAACATTTATTAGTTTCTCTTGAAGTTATACTGATGTTTATCAGTGTGACTGAATCAGTATTTTGGCTTATTAATCTTGTTCTACTATATTCTTAGTCTGAAATAGAAGGTTCAAATTCTTACTAAGAAGAGCTACTTCAGAGTCCAATGACAAAATCAGGTGAGGATTTACCTTTTCTAGAGCTCAGTGAGAAAATGACAACAGAAACTAACAGTGGCCATTAGTAATGTTCAGAGAGCATAGTAGCAGCCTTTTATTCTACTCCCAACTGCTATTCTCTTCAAACACACACACACACACACACAGAAAAAAAAATTTTTTTTCTAAGTCGCAAAGAAGGAATAAGTAATAGTTGGTCTAACCTCCACAATCCTACTCCTTGAAACAGCACCTAAGGTGAGGGTTCAGGATCCCTGTTTCTACAGGGCAGTTCCATCAGAGCCTTAGGAACCTACAGGTCGAACTTCACACACCAAACTCAGCTTATGAACCCCCTCTACTACATTTCACATCAGGGCACACTGGCCATCAGCAGGAATGCAGTCTCATGCAGCAGCACACTAAAACTGGGAATTGTTAACCACCCTCAAAATGTATGGAGACTTTCACATTTCATCATCCTTATAGTCTACAAACAAACATGATCAGATGCAACTGAGTTCAGCATTAAGTCATCTAGTATACTCAAGTGCTGAGAGAATGCAGAATTTACAGTGTTATAGAGGAAAAAAGCCATCTGAAACAATTGTAAAAATAGTTAATTGTGGTATTTAAATATTCCCTCCTCTTTATACAAGTGGAAGAATGTGAGGGGTTAGGGTACCCGCTGGGCCATGGGGTTAACCCCTTAGCACAGGCAATGATGAACATCCAATGCCACAGATTCTGCAGGAAGGAAACCCCAAGGGTGTACAGTATTCCTGAGAAAGATCACAGATTTTTTCCTGAACCAGTCTTAATCTGACTTTTGATTTATTCAGAAATGGTCACTTTATTTCAATCCAGACAGCTCAGCATAGTATAAATGATGTGTATAGAAAGATCCATTTTTTCAGACTTGTCTTGGTTTTTTGTTTTTGTTTTAATACTGGGGGATGAACTAAAAAAAATAAAATAAAATAAGTAGTTTTTATCATTTGTATCCTTCATTCTATTTCACTGGAGGGAAATCCCCAGGGCCTCCGGATATTCTGGAAGACCTGACTATTTCTGTGAGGGAAGCACAGCCCTGCTGAGCTTTACTCAGAATAATGCATGATAGACTCAACATAATTCCCAGGAAAGAGCCCAGTCACTCCATTCATAACTCCCTCATACCAACCATCGTCATTCTTCTTGATGACATAAATAATGGCTCCTTCCTGAAAGGACAGCTCATCTTCTTTGTCTTTTGTATAATCATAAATTGCCACAACTAGGAGAGAAAAAAAAAAAAAAACACGATATAAAAGAATACTATTCCTAGAAAGAGCCAAATAAGCAAACATGGTGACACAAACATATACCAAAATTTACAGTTTTCTATGTAATAAACAGTCCTATGCAATGGAATCCAATTTTCTAGGAAAGTTATGTAATTAGGACAAATGGCAAAAAGCAAAACCAAAAAAATTCCATCACAGATAGTCAAACCTTATTCTTTAACAGTCTATACAAAAGTACCTCATTGAAGAGAGAATCTTATCATGCAAAATGGCTATTCATTTGTGTTTGTCTGAGATACATATTATGTTTTTTAAAAAGCATTAAAATGATACTAATGCAATCTGATACAATATAAGAATCAAGTAAGACACAAGACAAACTAAGGGAATATCAATTTTGTCTCCTTTCTGAAGTCAGGCCAATTCACGGAATAAAATAGTGACTATAGTCTCATAAGTCAAATGCATGAATAATAGGAGTCTATGTATACTGTCTATATATTCATTAAAAACATATACTACAGGGGGCTGGGGCTGTAGCTCAGTGGTACAGTGCTTGCCTCACATGTATGAGGCACTGGATTTAATCCTCAGCACCACATAAAAATAAACAAAGATATTATGTCCATGTACAATTTTTTAAAAATTGCTACATTATGTCACTAATATATCCAGAATATTCGTCTTTAAAGTGCTAACAGAAACAAGATACCTATAGGTTCTCCTGTGATTTTCATTGCTAAGTCACTTGGTAACTGGGCCTTTCAACCACTGTCTCAGATAATAACTGTTTCCTAATATGACACCTACATCAACAGTTTAGTTAAATTGGGATACCTTAAAACTTACTTAGCTCTACTTGAAGCGCTACTTAATTTTTGTTCCAACCTCTTCATCCCCTCTACCTTTTTTTAATACCAAACCTTCAATGAACTCTCCATCATTTTCAGAAATATGTATTGACTTTGTTATTTTCTCATGTAACCTTATTCCTCACATAAATAAATGAGAAACAGAAACCAGAACAGGGACTTTAGATATAATGCAACTTGCCCCATTTAAAGAAAATTTATGTTTCTGGCTCGCCTTAATAAAAATTAAATGGCTTCCTTAATCTGTGAATATATTTTGTTATTATGATATATTTAGGACTTCAAGAAATAATTTACATGGGCCTGACTTAGAAGAGTTCAGTCTGTATTTCTCAAAATATAACCAAACACCTACACACAGTTAACTAAAACTACATGATACAGATTAACTATATGTAAGAGAATAGGAGTACTGTTCAGTATTGGCAGTCAAGCTAATATCTTCTAGCATTTTTAAAAGGAAAAATATTCTTCATGCTTACAGAAGTGCAAACCCACCAAAAAAATAATTCAGAAGAGAATAAAAAGGCTACTTCAACATAGTAGAAATGTAAAGTTATTAAGCTCTATGTGCATCCATCTTCTTCAATAAAATGTAGAAACTGGAATAGATAAAATTCATTGAATATGACTGCAGAGACTGTTTATAGTGATATAGAGTTAACATCTTTAAACTGTTAGATGAAGGGGTGGGGATCAAAATAAGTGATCAAAATTTTGAAGTTAATGGTTATTTTTTTCATCAAAGGGAGGGGTGCTGGGATGTAGCTCAGTGATAGAGTGCTTGGCTAGCATGTGTGAGGGCCTAAGCTTGATCCCCAGTAACATAATATAGATAAATAAATAAATAAAACTTTTTTAAAAAGCCTGCTTAAAAATATTCATTTTTAGCTGGCACAATGGCACATGCCTATAATCCTAACAACTGGGAAGGTTGAGGCAGGATGACTCCAAATTCAAGGCCAGCCTCAGAAATTTAGCAAGACCCTACCTTGAAATAAAAGTGTTTGGGGGTTATAGTTCAGTGGTAAAGCACCCCTGGGTTAAATCCCCAGTACATGCACCCAAAATTCATTTTCTCTCCAGGGAAAGATAAGCACCAGTAGTTTACTTCATTTACTTCTTCATAAAGCTATTCATCAAAAGGAAAATAGATCTGATTTGGTGCAAAAGACTTAAAATAACGAAGGAACAGACATTATTACCCTGTAATACAAGTATGATTATATTAATGGTATCAAAATGCATTCTACTGTCATGTATAATCAGAACAAATTAATTTTTTTAAAAAATAAATACATAAAAAATAAAATAACTAAGGAGGCAAGTATTAAATATATATACCAAGATTCAAAACACTGATGTTGATGTTCAAAAATGTAAAATCTGTCTAGATTTTATTTAGCCTGGAAAAATAGTTTTTGCAGTCATGAGGAAATTCTAATAAATATTTTCCATTATGCATGTGTATTAGCATCACAATCACAATGGGAATTTAAGAAGTACTTTTGAGAAAAAAAATTTTTAAGAAAACGTTAAATATTTGGTTTCTATATAGCTATGAAAGAAACACAGAAGAGCTAATGGTGTCCATGTCGCTTCTCCCAACATTTCTGTTAATGTGAAAATATATTCTAAATTCCAAAATACAGCTGTTCAAATTTAGCATTTCAGTTGAAGGCACTCTAAAAATATTTTGAAGTCTATAAGTAAGCAAAACTTCTTAGCTTAACACATTAAGTCCCAACTTTTCAATTCTGTAAATTTTTCAATAAAACTGACACAGGTACGTTAAAATAGGTTGGAATTCATAATCTAGAACTTATATGTATTAATGTTAATTAATATTATAATTATGTATTTACTTTCTTATAGAATTATATTTCAAATTATATAATTATGTTATATATTATATTTAAGTTTTTATAGGTGTTACACATCTGGGATGATATTCAAAATGGGTTAAGTATTTGGGGAGGGGGGGTTGAGGGGATACCAGGGACTGAGTTTAAGGGCACTCGTCCACTGAGCCACATCCCCAACCCTATTTTGTATTTTATTTAGAGACAGGATCTCACTGAGTTGGTTGGTGCCCTTTTTTTTTTTCCCCCCTGAGGCTGGCTTTGAATTTACCTCTTACCCCAGCCTACCCAGCCACTGGGATTACAGGCATGCCCACTGCACCCTGCTCTTTTTTAATGTAATGTTATAATTTTATATGAAGTATGCGCAGAGTTAAATATAAACAAAGAAGGATGGTGCTACACAATGATGGTCAATGATTAGTAAGAGAAGTCAGCTGTCTTCTCTCATAAAATATGAAAGGTGAAACAAGAAACAGTAATCCAAACAAAATATCTCTATACTGCAAACTCCTGCAGGGAAAGATTCATCTCTGAATCCCTCTGTCACTGAATACAAGGCTTTGCATTTTAGACACTTCTAAATGCATCTACATTCTATATTATTTAACTACTCAGTAACTTAAATGTGCACTGGAAAAAAACTGAGGTGATACTAAATTAACAACAATCTAAGAAAGTGCTAAATGAACATGTTATTTATGAGCTAAAAATAATGACCACCAAATACTGTAATAGCATTAGCAACCATATCTAGCAATTAAGTACACAGAACTTGTGGCAAGCTACTCAAAAATCTTTATCCATTTTAAAGATACTCTTTGTATTAAGTTACATTTTAAACTGAGATTATTTACATGGAAAAGAAAAAGTTTATCCTAAGTCAGCAAAATCCTATTTAACATAATTTTTGAATTTATGTATAACTTGTCGGAAGGTTCACTGACACTACAAGTGAAAAGTCTGTGTGAACTACTTTATGCTGTAAACTAAACTGAGAGACATTTTAGAACCTTTTTGATACTGTTTCTATATAACTAATGGTGCTTAGTTAATGTAGCCACATTCCTTCTGTCCCCACCAAACTGTTCACTCAAAGGTAACCACTGGGAACTGGGACTGGGGCTCAGTGGTAAAGCACTTGCCTGGCATTGAGTTCAATTCTCAGCACCACATATAAATAAATGAACAAAATAAAAGCTAAAGGCCCATTTAAAAAAAAAATAAAGGAATCTCTTTAAAAAAAAAAAAAAGAAGAAGAAGAAGGGGCTGGGGCTGGGGCTCAGTGGTAGAGTGCTTGCCTAGCATGGGGTGAGGCTCTGGGTTTGATCCTCAGCACACATAAAAATAAATAAATAAAATAAAGGTATTGTGTTCAACTACATAAAAGGTATTGTGTTCAACTACAACTAAAAATATATTTTTTTAAAAAAAGAAAGAAAAGGTAACCACTGAAAAAACAGCCTTCTAATTTTGAGATCATAGATCTTTTCTCCATACACACTCCCCACCTAAATGATTTGGCAAACTTTTTTTTTTTTTCTATCTCCAGGTTTTTAAAGTAGACACGTTTGTTTAAAATAAAGTTGGTTTTTAAGAGCACACAAAAGTTGAGCACAAACTAAGAAGTAGAACAACAAAGTAAGGAATAGCAAATACATGCCTTCAACAGAAAACTGAATGTCTGAGGTAAAGAACTGATAGTGGCTAGAGTCTTTGCACTGCAAAAACACTGTTTAATGCATGTACCAAGGAGTTTGTAGCTGTACCTGGTTTCTATTTATTACTTAATAAGACAGTTAAGTAGTCCTTATAGACAACCTGCATCCATTTCAAATAAACACATTTTCTACAACAGAGTGATTATAAGGCCACACTATTTCTTTTAGACAAAATCCTTTAATGCAGTAATTTTTTCTACCAGTAATTTTTCTACCAGTGTTATTCAATCTTTTATTCAAATATAGAGTATTCTAACTGAATTCAGGTTACAGATAATTATCAAATGATACATACATCATGACTATTAATTTATTTATACTATTTGCATTTAATATCCAAAGAAAATTTACGACCAAATTCTTCAGAACATATATTAATCAGTCTTACATGCTTATTAATGGATTTCATAGGTATTCATTAGTATCTGTTGTTTTATTTTACTAAATTGGGAATACATCATTTATGGAACAAATAAATGCAAGTGGTACAGCTACCCAAGGATTACCATCTCTCCAGTTAGCTGTCAGGCTGATA